TCTTCTGCCTTCTGGGACAGTGTCTGTCCCACTTACCAGCATGCCCAGCTGTATAGCCAGCATGGCCACTCTGGCCTCCAGTTCTGGCTCCTGCTCAGCCTCCCGCAGTGCTTGAGCCCCACGGGCATGGCCCATGTTCCCTAGGCACACTTTGGCAACGTCCAGCCGCTGGGTCTTCACACACATGCGTGCCATGTTCTCCCAGACAGCCTCACTGCAGACAGAGGAGACAGGGCCCTGTAAGGGTCTGGCCCAGCACTCCAGTCCCCCACCCCTTCTTCCTCAACAATCTGTCCACAGGTAGGGCTACCAAGGAGCTTCAGGCATGAAATCTTGGTCTTAGGATTTAAATACCGTGTTTTTTTTTTTTTGGTACCAGGCATCGAACTCAGGACCTTGCACTTGTGAGTCAGGTGTGGCACCACTGAGCTAAATCCCTGGCCCCTAAACACTTTTCTTTAAATAAGCAGAAATCTAAAGCTAGCCTTTCTTCTCCATCCTGAGTGCTAGCTGAATGCATGAGGAAGGGGTATGGGGATGAAACCAATGGTTTCTCACTGGTCCAGACAAAGCCATCCCCAAGTGGAATCTCTGGGCCTCAGCCAGGATCCTGTGGGACATCTATCAACTGGGTGAATAAGGATTCTCCAAGACATCACTGGTCCTAGAGATCATAGCTAGTAACAGCAAATGGGGTCTAGTGTCAAGTCCAGAATCTCAAGTGAAGTAGTCTTATGCACAGCTCTGGTGGGTTCTCCAGAACTCTATGTTCATGTATAGAACAGACAGAGCCTCTGTGGATGCCCTGGGTTTATGGGTATGCTGGGGTTCATAGCTATCCTCCTAGGCCTGCTGGGCAAACTCAGTGTGTGAGGCATATGCAGTCATTTCACCAACAGCATTATTGTGGGTTTTTTGGTCTGTATTTTTTTTTCTTTTCTTTTTTTCCCCGGTACCAGGAATCAAAATCAGGACCTTGCACTTGCCAGGCAGGCATGGCACTGCTGAGCTACATCCCTGGTCCATTATTGTTTTTTTGAGACAGGGTCTTGTTATGTACTGTAGTTTAGGCTGACCTTAAACTATGTAGCCCAGGCTAGACTCAAACTCATGGCAATCCTTCGGCCTCAGCCTCTTGAGTGCTGGGATTACAGGTGTGTGCCACCATGCCCAGCTAAGACTTGATTATTATTAACTGTCCTCTCAGGATCCATTGTGAGGGAATTGGGCATGGCCTCCTTTCCTTTGCCTTGTACTGACAGCGTAATGCTTCATGTTTGTGTCCAATCATAGAGAAAAGACATAAGTAAGCAGAGTAACCAGGGAGCTGAGTAGGCAGAGCTGGCTGACATTTGCTTGCTTGCCTGCTGGCAGGATGTAGTTGTCACCAGTATCTGCCTTCTTAGGAGGTAGGAGACAAGAGACCTGGCTTGGTATCACTGTATGCCCCGGCCCTGTGACAAAGATCTGTCCACGTCACCGAGACGCCCTACTATTTGCACACCTATTTCCACTGGGAATCAAAGTCTCCATCAAGCCAGGGTTCTGAAAAGCATGCTCTGGAAGTGCAGCCCCCAGGCAGGGAAAGAGCTGGGAAGGCCAAGACAGGACTGAGGCCTGTGCACAAACTACAGGGAGGGCGGTGGCCCTCTTTCAGCTGAGTTCAAACCTGCTAGAAGGGCCTAGATCCAAAGAGATGGCTGCAAACTTCCTCCACAAAACCATGTTGTGCTCTCAGCAGCTGCCTCCTTCTGACCCAGGATAGTCTCAGCCCCCCATGAAATTCCTGACATTCTTTTTGTGCACAACTTGCTGAGGACGGGAACAGTTGTAATCCCAGCCTGAAGTTCTGGGCTTTGTGCATCTGACATGCATTCCAAGAAGTAGATACCACCCTCCCCAGCCCTGTCCAAGTCTTGAGAATTTCCTGTTGTCTGAGCCAGTCTGTGGAGAGCAATCTCATCTGCATTTCATCAGTTCCCAGGCATCTAAAATGAGAAGCAGATGCTACTTCGGAGGAGGGAACAGCTCAAGATGGCCCTGGTTTCTGAAGAACTTGAGTTCTGCAGAAGCTTGTTTGGACATGTCCTGAGTCAGGACAGCAGGGAACTAGCACCCTGACCTTCTGCCTACAGCAGACTTGCCACTGCTCAGTGTCCCTGTTGCTTCTGTGCTCTGGGTGATGCTCCTTGTTTGTCCAAGTAGGGAGGAGAAGATGCACATACAGGAGCTGCAGTCAGACCACAAGGCACAACCAAAACTAGCAAACAGCAGGAAATAGGAAGGGGCCTTCATGGAGGAATGAAGGCCACTGGCCTGGCTTTAGGTCTTCTGGGTATGTGCCAAGTGGTTATATGAGTCTTAGATACTCTTGAGGATAGCGTTGCACTACAGGAAGGGTCCTTCCTAACTTAAATTCTGCTCCTGGGTTCATTGCTCTCTTGTGTCCAGCTTCCCACACTAAGGGCACAGGGACCTGGAGGTCTGATGGACCCCATGGAAGTGCAAGGAGGCCAATGGCGGTGGCTGTACACTGGGACATCCAGGGTCCAGCCACCTAGGGATGCACGGGGACACCTCTGTCCACCCTCTATGAATAAAAGCCAGGCCTTGGCCTCTCCCACGCCATCCCTCCGTCAGCCGCAGAAAAGACAAGTGGATTAGCCCAAGGGCTATGTCTGGGACAATCACATGTCCTCTGGGTTTTGAAACTGCATGCTTTCTTCTCACTGGAAACTACCTAAAGAGGAATGATTTAATTAGGGAGGGAAATTGATCTCTCCTAGTGGAAACTTATGGAAACATTTCCTTTTTAAAGGCATCTGCTGCAGGCTGTGGTTAGGAATGTTGAGTGTTGGAAACACACTCCAAATGTGCTTGGTGGGGGATGTGCAGGAATGATTGAATCCAAGGGTCTTCTGAGCCATGAGGTAAGCAGAGGGCAGATAACACCATGGTGCTCTGCACTCCTTGGCAAATTTCTAGAGCTGAGAACTTGACTATAGAGAGGCTAGAGCAAAAGAACAAGACAGAATACCAATTTCCTTGAAGAAGGGAAAGTAGAAAGAAATGTGCTGGACATCCACTACAAACGCCAACAGGAAAGGCCCTAAGATATGTATGTAAAGCCCCTCAGGGAACTGATGGACAGATGTTTCTCACAATCAAAGATTGGTCCAGTGTTGGTCAGAGATAGAGTTCCTGCCCTTCAGAAACTGGGAAGCCTGACTTTAAATGTGGACATGTAGAGCTACATTTGGCCAAGACAGTGAACCCAGGAAATGGGGGTGAGCTTCAGGGTAGCCACCTGACCAGGGCTCAGCATGGCAGTGCACAAAGGCAGGAAAGGATCAGAAGGCTGTGCTGTAACCACCCATGGCCTAGCCGGCAACAGAACTTGTGCATGAATAACGTCTTGAGTGCCTGTACTTGAGAACAGTGTACATGGAATACAGCACCTTTGTCTCTGTTCATTAAGGTAGAACACAGAGCATCAGACCCTCCTACAATGGCCATCCTCCAGCTCTGAAAGGTTCTGACAATGGAGAAGTTCCAACTTTCAGTAGCTTTGGTTGGCAACATAACAGCACACTGGGCCACAACCCTAGTTCTTTGTCTGGCCTCAAGAGTGACTGTCACAGCAGCAGCAAGCATGGCTGGCCAGAAACCACATGTGCTCTGTTTCTGGCCCCTGCATGGAGCCCTAACCCCTTATGTCCAGAATCCCACCCCTTCTTGCCACCCCGAGGTCAATCCCAGCCAGTTCTCCAAGGGGGCCCCTGCCCTGTCAGGTCTGGGTGCACTTGCTCCCTTGAGATCTGTGATTTTCTGCTGGGAGGCAACACCCTGCCTGAGCAGTGCCTCCCGACTTTGCTCCCGACTTTGCTCCCCCCTCTCCTCCCTCCCAGCACTCATGTCTCCACTTGAAGGCAGAATCCCTGTGGGGAGGAGCTCTGATACATCATGGGCTCGTGGCACCTACTGCACAGAAGGCATGCCTGGGTGGCTTGGTGCCTGGTTCCTCAGAATCCTGACTGCCTATGGTATCTTCAGCTTCCCCAGGTCCTGAGCCCAGCAGCTGGCCAGGCTTAGAAGTGACAGGTGAGCCAAGTGGCCTACCCAGTATCCCCACCTTCTCCTCTAGGACAGGAAGGCAGGGAGGAGGTCTGGTGGGGGTGGAGCAGGCCTGAGAAGTCTCTCCAGGCCTTTCCCATCAGGAAACACATCCTGTTAGTGTCTGGCTCTGTGGCAGGGCTGCTATTTGTTGCAGTTGGCTACGCCCTCCCCCTCACCAAAAACAGCCTCAAAAACAACCATTTCCTCTGGCTGAGAGACAGAGGGAAACTCGAGCTTACACACTTACACACACACACACACACACACACACACACACACACACACACACACACACACGCTTCCTTGCAGCAGGCACTCTGCTTTCCAGGACCTGCCACTTGTAGCAGAGGCTCCAGGACAGGGCCCAGGCAGCAGAGAGGTGGCTGAACCTGCACTGCTCCCACAGCCCTGATCAGAGCACCTCCCTCAGCAGGTTCTAAGGAGCATGACGAGTTCAACTCCCTCTTGAGTTACTTTCTGTTTTCCGCTGCTGCAGCCGAAGAGGTGCATGTTTGTGGCCTCCCTGGCCTCTGGTTCCCAGAAAGACGGCATACTCAGAACTCTGGATTCTCGCTGGTGCCCCTGTTTCCTCTCCGAGATGGGCTTTGCGGCGACTGGCTTCAGCACAGACTTGGCCCTACTCCAGGTTCAGGAGGGAGGATAAGGCAGGGCTGTGAACGACTCACCTGGACCTGTCCCATGGGCCTGTCCCCACACAGTTGCCATCTCTGTGTGCCTGGTGGGAACTGCTATACTGCCTTTGAGAATGAGTGGTGATGTTCTCTAGCCGGCCCTAGTAGCATCGTGGCTCTCTCTGGATGCAGAGCAGCTGACTGTGACTTGGGATTCTCTCCGAGATAAATGGACAGCACTGACAGTCAGCTATGACTGTCCAGAAACTCGTGGCCATAGCTGTGCTGGTGGCCTTGGTTTCCCTCATCCTCAACAATGCAGCTGCCTTCACCCCCAACTGGGTGTACCAGACATTGGAGGATGGGCGCAAGCGCAGTGTGGGGCTGTGGAGGTCCTGCTGGCTGGCGGACAGGGGCCGGGGTGGCCCTAGTCCTGGGGCCAGAGCTGGGCAGGACTGTGAGATGCTAGGCTGGGGCTCGGAGTCGGCAGGTTTCCAGGAGTCTCGAGGCACTGTCAAACGTGAGTCTGCTTGTGTTTCTGTTGCCTTCTGAGGGGATCGGTGAGGGGAAGCTCTGCCCAGGCCACCAGGGGACAGGGAAGCTAGGCCCCATGCCCACCCTTACACTAATGAGCAAGGCTGCATGTGTTTTCCTGCTCAGCCCAAACTCTGCCTCTGGATCCTCTTGCAGGGAAGTCACCTAACAAGGTGGGGGCTTTCTCTCTGACGTTATGCACAGCTAAAGGATGGACAACTAAACAAATCAAAGGAAAGATTCTCCTTGGCTGAAAATAAGTATTAAATAGGTAAAATAAACACAGATGAGTAAGAATATGTGACTGAGTCTGAATTCAAGTCCATGATGGTCAGGGCCTTTAGGGATGTGAGCAGGGAGACTGCTGTGGTCTGACAGTAGCTGGGATGTATGGAAAGGGACCAGGGGAGGCTAGGTGATGGCAAAGTGCCATCCCACTGTCTTAAGGTCTGTTTACAGTGCTGGAAGCTGGACACTTGACTTTAAATTAGGTTTGAGGGTGCAAATATGAAGAAACTTGCTACCTAATATGTAACTGCTGGTGGGGGCCTGACTTGCAGGTATCCCAGTTCTGTTGCAAAACACTATATAAGTCTCAAGGTTAGGGTTCTCCAACACTGCTCTTTAAGGAACAAGAGACTTAGGTGAGGCATCTTTTCTGTGCTCAGAGGGAGTCCTGGCCACCTTGGAGTAATGGACTGCATATGACTCACCTGGCAGCCCTGCCCTTGACTTTGGAGCTTGGGTGGGGAATATCATTCTCATTTCACAGGCAAAGAAATGGAGGCTTGGGGGCCGGGGATTTAGCTCAGTGGTACCTGGCTCATAAATGTGAGGTCCCGAGTTCAATTCCTGATACCGGGAAAAAAAAAAAAAAAGAAAGAAATGGAGGCTGGCAATAGGACTGGTAGGCCTCCTCCTTTGTCCTCCACAGGCAGGGGGCAATAACCTTCTTTTGAGAAAGATCTAATTATATGAACATTTTCAAAATTTCTACAAGCTCTCAGAATTCAGTGTATTTTGAGAAGCTGGATAAACAGAGCTGAATTTGGGTCTGTGTGATGAGTCAGCAGAGAGTCCTTTCTCTGAATTCCATGATTATTTTGACTAAACGAAGCCAGGAACCCCATGGCTCTGTGTCTAAGCCTCTCATATGGGCTTTGGCTTTGCATAGCCTTGGAGGCCTTGGTGATCAGGAGGCAAGGATGCAGCCCCAGGGCTCACTCTGTGCTCTAGGACCAGCAATGGCTCACCTCAGGGGAAGAGAGTCCCAGTCAGGCTCAGCTCTATCCTAGGCCTCAAGGCCTCCTGATGGCCCAGGTGTCCCCTGGCAGCTGAAAATATGGCACTACTTCCCTCTCCCTGCCTCTTGCATCTGAGTTGTCACAGGGCACGTGGTGAAGTCCTAGAGCATTTTGTGTAGCTGTCCCTCTACTGTGATCTATCACTACAGGCCAGTGGGACACACAGGGCCCTCATGACCTCTTCCAGCCTGTGTCCCTGTGACCATATGGTGGTCTTGACTGTTGCCTGCCTGCAGCCCTCAAAGCTTCCCCCGTCCTGAATCTGCTGCCCTGCCTAGAACATCTCATAAGCTCCTAGGCAATTCTTTCTTTTTTTTTTTTTTGTACCAGGGATCGAACTCGGGTCCTTGAGCTTGTGTAGCAGGCGGCGAAACCACTGAGCTAAATCCCCGGCCCTCCTAGGCAATTCTTTAAGTACTCTTCTTCAGTTAAAATGGGATTTGCAGGTGACAGACTCTCAATGAATCGAAGCTACAACTATTTGTTCAAACAATGGAAACGCCACTGAAAGCTTCTTGGGAATGACAGACAGAACTTAGGAAAATAGGCTAAATGGATAATTTTGGTTGCTGACAAAACTAACACATTGAAACTGAAAAACGATAGGAACAGGCAGCTATAAGTCAGCATTTCCTGAGGGGAAACTGCAGATCCTAATCCATGGGCTTGGGCCATGGGCCATGGGCCATGTGGCTCTGTGCCAGTGGTCTCAAGGTGGAGGCGACGATGTTGGTTCTTTCTGTCTTCTCCCCTCAATGAAGTTTGCTCCCTCTGGTGCCAAATACTACAAATTAGCTTCACGTGCTGCTCTCAGCATTGAAGCCCCCTCCAGTCACACAGCTTAGTGACAAACTCACTGCTCAGATCCACATGCTCCCATGTGCCCAGCCTGACAGATAGCCAGCCACCTGCTGCTGCCTTATATCATGCCTGTGGTCAGCTTTAAGAGCACTCATGCAACACTCCCCTACACAGTCCAAATGGTCTTAAAATCAGCCTTCCAGGAAGGGACAAGCTGCTTAAACATATTGCCTGGATGAAGGAGTCAGCTCAGGGCTAACAAACATCTTCCTTCACATGGAGCTGTTGTTCTTTATAAAATCCTCCGACACACATCACCAGCACATCAGCCAGTGTCGCAGGTCTGACTGTGTGGTTTCCTCACAATTCCATCATGAGAACCAGTCTAGGGAACAATGAGGATATAGGACAGGTCACATAACCCACACCGTTTTTTATGGGCATGAGGATATCCTTAGAGTTTCCAGATGTCACTGTAGGGACTGGAAGGGACATCTGCCAGCTCTCTATGCCCTGAGGTCCTTCCTAAGGAACAGGGGACAAGCATGTGGACTACTCCATGATTCTTTGAACTTTGGTTGGGTGCTGTGCTGGTGGGTGTCAGTGTGCTGGGTCAGGGGCCAAGGGGTAGGTCCAACACTTGTCTGGGTCCAGGGCCGGTGCTACTCTCACATTACTCTGGGTATTCATGGAGAGGGGTGGGGCAATTTCCCACCAGCTGGCCATTATGTACCCTGTGGCCATCAGGGCTTTTATTTCTGACCAAGGACTCTCTTCCCTGTGAGAATCTGGGGGACTGGAAACATTGGGTCCACTTGACTATGAGTCTCATTCTCTGGTCCTCATTTTCTGTCTCATCTTTCACATTCATTCTGTGTCCCATGGTTCATGCACTCTGTTAGACACCCAAAGTCCCAGGACAAGCAAGAACAGATGAACATACAATCGAGCCTTGGGGCAGATCAGCTTCACCACAGCATTCCCTCAGAGGGAGTCTCCACTCCTGCTCTCAGGAAAGCCCGAGAATCTCCATATACCCTTGTGCCATGCAAGACATCAAACACTCCTGACTAGATAGGCTGGCTGGGTGGGCACTTGGCTTGACCCTCTGCTTGGCCAGATACTCTGTGCCACATTCTCACAGGGACCATCTGGGGGACACAGGAACAGATGAAAGGCCAAGTGGCCCCCTGGGGAGGATGGGATTGGGGCTGAGAGGTGCAATTCCATCCAGAGCACTTCCTTTCAAGTGGCATGGTACTCTGTGAGTGTTCCCCGTGGTGATCCATAGGCAGGGGACCAAAAAGGCGGCCTGTGGGGTGGCTGGCTATGGTATGCCATAGTCTGTAGCACAGTGCTGCATGCTTAAAGTAGCCAGGAAAAGAGACAAAGAGAAGAGCCAGACGAAGAGGAGGAGGAGGAGGACAGGAGGTCAGGGCCAATGTCAGGACAGGCCAAGGGTTGGTCTGAACTACCTTCCCGGCTCTGGCAGTGTAGTCTTCTGGTACTGGGGATCGAACTCAGACCTTGTGCTTTCGAGGCAGGCGGCGGAACTACTGAGCTAAATCCCCTATAGTGTAGTCTTCTGGTGTAGTTTTCTCCCAGGACTACACACCATGCAGAGAGGCCCTCAAGCCACTCTCATCCTGGCTTCTCCTGGCCTTCCAGGAAGTGCTCAGAATGCCAGCTTTGCTGTTCCTGTACCATCAACACTCTATACATTTTTTTTGGTACCAGGGCTCCAACTCAGGACCTTGGGATTTTGAGGCGGGCACGGTGCCACTGAGCTAAATTCCCCAGCCCAACACTCTACACATTTTAACATCTCTCTAATTCTACCATCTTTTAAAGTAGCAGAATCTCTGGAGGATCACATAAATGGTAAAAGAGACTATAAAGAATGTTAAATGTACAGATTATGGAACATCATAAAGAATACCAACCTTCATCTTATGGTCACACATGATTTTCTAGATTGTATTGGCAAGAGTCTTTGGAGCACACAGTCCTAACATGTGGACAGAGCCTCCTAAGGACTTGAAAGCCTGGACTGGGCCTCCTGCACACAGCATGTAATTACCAGTCAGGGCTGGCTGTGAACCAGTGTAAGGAACCAAGAGAGATCTGGCAAATTGACCCAGCTCTCCTAGTCCCCTCCCCTCACCCTTGGAACCGAGGACCTTTTGGCCTCGGTTCCCCATGTCCTGTGTCTCAGTGAGCCATACAGTGCTGTGCGTGAGTCCCATGCCACAGGGCTGCCATGCCACTGCTCAAGGAACATTTCTACAATCCCTTACATTTCTAGCCCTTCACCCTCCACTCCTCTATCCACACCATTCTGGATCCCAGTGCCACCCTTCTCTATTACCAGCTGTGCCTGAGCTAGGGAGGATGGGTTCACCTGACAGCTATGTGCCAGAAGTCTCCTGACCACCAGACCAGGCTCTTCTCAGCCTGTCTGCATAACTTCCCTTCCTAAAGCATCACACAGGTGTGTTAGGGTCTCTAGCAATCTGAGTTATGTTTTGTGGTTATCCTGAGGATCAAAGAACACAAGCTCTTGGTCACCAGCAGTGAAGCCTGTTGGTGGCTGCCTGCTTTACTACAAGAAGAGTAGGGGAGAGAGGCAATGCCATGGTGCTCCAGCAAAGCAGGAGGGTCCAGTAAGTGGTGACTGCTGTCCTATCCAGCAGCTCCCATCTTTCTCTGGTGGCATAACTGTTGGGTCATGGTGTATGCACTGCTGTGACTGTCTAGTAGCTTGGGGGCCTCATATATACATGCAGCTCTTTTGTTTGTTTGCCTGTTTTCTTGAGACAAGGTCTCTCTGTAGTCCAGGCTGGTCTAGCACTTAACCATATAACTCAGGTTGGCCTCAATTTTAGATTCTCTTGCCTCAGCCTCCAGAGTGCTGGTATTACAGGCATGTGTCACCACAACCATCCCACACAGCTCTTTACATATGTAGCATATGATAAGGCCTACTGGCCTCAGAGCTGGTTACATCACCACCAGGTTGGAGCAGGCATGCTGGAAAAGCCTAGGATATGGGAAGGGCCTCTCAAGCTCCAAATGACAGAAGGAGACAGCAAGGAGGAAGCATCTCAAAATACAATGGGGAGAACAGGCAAACCCTTGGTGGTGGGAAGTAGCACAAAACCTATGAAAGACTGTGACTCCACAGCCTAAATATAGACAAGACAGCAAGAAGCATGAATCACAAATCTCATCCTGGCTGAAGACAGGTGGGTACCCTTGGGGCCCTGGACAGAGACAATGGTCCCATGGCACAGGATTCCATGAGCATGTCCCTCCCTGCTCTACTCATGTACGGTGGTAACTTTCCTAATGTTGCTTTAGTGGCCTAGAAAGACCTGAAGGAAAGGGGACCACACTTCATGGGGCTTTAAATAAATGCTCAGTGCGACCCCATGCTCCTGCTCCCCCAGCACATAGATGTTTTTCCTGCAGTATCTCTCAGTGATCCGGGTGGTGAGGAGGCCTCTGGACACAGCTGCTCCCAAGAGCAAAGCTGAGACCAAGAATCGAGCAGACATCTCTGGCCAGCTGAAGGACACTTCTGTGGCCTGGGGACTCTTACCTTGAGGCATGCATATCTTCTTACAGCTTTACCTCACTCTAGGTGGTTACCCACCAGCCTGAGGGTCTGCTTTTGGTGTGCAGGTGAGGGGAGCTGGGGGCTTGGCCATGGGTAGAGTAAGTGGGCAGAGATGCCTGTTGTGTGCCCAACAGGGTACAGGATCTAGCACAACATGGCAAGAGAGGCTGATGCTGAACCTGAGAGCTTTAAGCTAAACTGTCAACCCAAATTTCATTTCAATAAACATTTAAGTAGAACCCTATAGAATTGCTGATATCACCAACAGCAGTTCAAAGTAACCCTTCAAGCGAGGTGAAGTGGCACATGCCTGTAATTCCAGCTACTCAGGAGGCTGAGACAGAGGGATTATAAGTTTGAGGCCAGCCTGGCAACTCAATGAAACCCTATCTCAAAATGAAATATAAAAAGGGCTGGGGATGTACCTCAGTGGAACAGTGCCCCTGGACTCTATCCCTAGTACCACACACACACACACACACACACACACACACACGTAACCTTTCCAACCACTTAGGAGCTCACAATGTACAGTGGCCTGTCCCCTCCCCTCAATGAAAACTATCACTGAGGGCCAAGGCTGACACACCCATCCACCCATGGTTGAGTAGACCACGGCTAACCTTCTCCCAACCACCTCTGACTTCCCATCAATGCTCTGTAAGGAGCAGGCTGAGCACCTAACAAGTCTCTGGAAGCAGGGCCTTCCTCTTGCTGGCCCTACTCAGTCACAAAAACTGCATGAGCCCTGGTCAAATGAGACTCGGGTCAGGCTCTGTGCCTTCCTGGCCCCATTTTGGCCAGAATGATAATCAGTGGTCATCTAAGAGGAAAGTCCTTCAGGACTCTAAGATTCTGCTTGTTCTTACACTTGTGATTATGACATTTTCAGTGATCTAATTTTTTTTTTCTTTTGTACCGGGGATCGAACTTGGGACCTTGTGCTTGCAAGGCAGGCGGTGGAATTACTGAGCTAAATCCCTGGTCCTCAGTGATCTAATTTTAAAGACCAATTGTATATTTCTCTTTCAAACTTTTGGAAGAGTACCTTGAAACCTCAAGGCTAGCATTTTGAAGAGTCATTATTTCCAACAGTTTAACAGTGAATCAGAACCTCTGAACTAATACTTAATACTGCTCAATCACAAGAAGTAGACAATCTCAAGAAGTAGAAACACTCAGGTTGTTGTAAACATGCATAGCCCCCAGCCTCGAAGCACAGCCCCTTTCTTCCCCCTGTGCTCAACAGACTTGCCATAGATTCTAGAATAAACTGGAGCCTACAAAGGCCACCAAGGTTTTGCACAAGCTTCTGCACAGGGTATCGATGGCAGAGAACAAACTTCTCAACCGGACCTGCAACCAGCTACCCCTGCAGGCAGTGCCCTTCCTCTTCAGCTCACCCACCTTTAGCTCATGTTCTTCCTGTAGGGAGGGTGGGAAAGGGGTGAGGGGCAAAGAAGGTAGGGGCAAAGCTCAAGCACCACTCTGGCTACAGGAGGTTAAAAAGAGTGGAATGCGGTAATGGCTTCTTAATGTCAAAGGCCCAAGTCCTTAGCCTGTAAGGAAGGAGGGGGGTCAGCATGAAACTCTCAGGACCCAGAAAGGCTGAACTTGAGAGATAGCCAAGAAAGGCCTTCCGAGGGATACATGGAGCAGGGAACCCTGTACTGCCAGCACTGATTCCTCTTCCCATATTCCACCCACTATGTAGTGCCTTTGTGCAACAGCTATCCCAAGAAAAAAAATCATAAAGAAGGGCCAGTCCCCATTGGGATGCAGTCAAGCTGGGGTTGTGAGGAGCCTCTATGGGCCAGGGAGGTGCACAGGCAGTACCAGCCCTGGGGGTGGGGGTGGTGAGGTGCACCCAGAAGGTTCTGCCCAGAGAAAGCCTAGCAGAGATCCAGAATGGGAGTGGCCATCTTGGAGGGTAGAGGCCAGGCCTGCCTTTACTCACCACCTGTTTCTCTCTCTCACCCAACAGTACAGTTTGACATGATGCGTGCCTGCAACCTGGTGGCCACAGCAGCGCTGGCTGTAGGTCAGCTCACCTTTGTTCTAGGGCTGACAGGCCTGACTCTGATGTCACCTGAGTCCCAGTGCTGGGAGGAGGCCATGGCTGCTGCATTCCAGCTGGCAAGTAAGTACCCAGGGTAGTCACAGTAGTTGGCAGGCCTGCTGGGACCTCCTGATGTCACTGGGTGGCTTGAAGGGGGGCTGCCAGCTGTCCCTCCAAACATGGCCACAGGCAGGTCCCATGTGTCATACCCATTGCTAAAGGTAAAGCAAGGGAGGAGTAGGTACTCAAGGCCTAGGAGCTTGAGGACATGACCACCTGGGTTTGGATCTGTCCCACCTCTGTCCATTTTAAAAACAGCTCTAGGGCCAGGGATTTAGCTCAGTTGTTCCGCTGCCTGCCTCGCAAGCACAAGGTTCCGAGTTTGATTCCCAGTACCACCCACCCCCTCAAAGCAGCTCTAGCCACTGGGGTGACCTGCTTTGCTTTTTCAAGCCTGTGGGGATCATCCCGACTTGTCCTTCCACTGTCCCTGTAGGGTACCTGGCAGAGGGTCACCTCAGGTCTCACCCCAGCCTCCTGCTATCCCCCAGCAGCCAAGGTATGGCAGGGAGGTCAGAATGTGGGCTCTGCTATAACTGAAGCTTCTAGAGGCCCTAGCTGGGGCCAACGAAGGCCCTTCTTAGGACTAGCAGTAGAAGGCAAAGTGAGGATAACATGTCCAAGAGTAGAGAAGGTACAAGCACACACCCATGCTCCTATCCTGGCTATTAACACAGATGCAATCCTAACCTGGCCTCCCTGAGTCCAGGGGAGAGAGCTCTGGTGAGGCCAGGAATCCCAGCTTTGAGGAGCACTAGGTCACCAAGAACAGAGCCTCCTCTACACACTGAGCCTACAACACCCTCCCTACTGCTGGGGTAGCGCCTCCTGTGGGTAAGGTGGGACAAAGCAGAACACCATGCTGTTTTTATTTTTTTGGTACTGGGGATCAAACTTGGGTTCTTGGGCCTGTGCAGCAGGCGGTGAAACCACTGAGCTAAATCCCTGGCCCCGATGATGCCTGTTTTTAAATGGCAAAAGTGGCGGCACTATCAGAAATAATCCGTAAACTTGTTCTGGGAGAGTCTGGAGCAGTGTTGGAAACTATGGCAGTTATCCACCTGTAACCCCCAATGACAGAGGGTCTCTTGTCTATCCTGTGGGCTCACAGGATCATGGTCAACTGGAAGAAGTAGGAAGTTTGTGGTGCTCACTGGGGGCAAGCCAGCTCTTGGTCTGGTCCACAGGACTAGAGTACAGGGAACCTTTCCTTTGTGGTACACAATGGCAGTCTTTCCAGTGTCAAATGCATCGTTCCAAGAGAGGAAATGGCAGGATATCCGAAGTGAATCATTCTAGGAATAATGGGTCCTGGGCCCTTCTCTTTCTTGAGAAAGGCAATTTCCAGAATGGGGCTGACAGGTATTCATGTGCTGGGAAGCGGCCTGATGGGAGTCAGGAAATTGGGCTAAACACTATGAATAGAACGAAGTGTTGTCCTGGGCAAGTCACTTCCCAAAGCCTGGTCAGAGGGAAGGAGGAGGGATCCTGAAGTCCTGGTAGAAGAACACAGGGCTTGGTGGCAAGAGACATGGAACCACATCTTAGTGGATGTGAACTTGGGCAAATCCCTGAAGCAACTGCAGTTTACCCAACTGCAGAATGGGGTCATTTCTGTCTGCACTGACTGGCTCTGAGAAATAGTGAGATAGGTGAAATGTGAGAGAGGATTAATTCTGCCTCCTTCCCTCCTGCACAACTGAGTGTAAAAACACAAACATTCCAAATGACAGGACATGTTTAGGAAAGTTGCCCATTTTGCCCTCCGCTGAACTTAGGGGCATAAAACAGAGAAACAGTTTTCCTTGTTTTTTTTGGTACCAGGGATCGAACTCAGGACCTTGCGGTTGCAAGGCAGGTGGGCAGAACCACTGAGCTAAATCCCCAGCCCCTTATCCTTTTTTTTTCCTTTAAATTCTTTTATTGGTACCTTTTAGATATACAATACATTTACATTTATCATTGGGTGCTTGTACCTGTACATGATGTATCTTGGTTATTTTTTTCCCCATTACCTGTGTGCCCTTCCGTATTTACATAGATTTCGTTTCCAGTTTTTTCTTTTCTCATAATTTTTCCTTTGCCTTCTTTCTTTTCCCCTTCCCCTCCCACCACCCCTACACCTTTGGACCTTTTCCTATTTCAAAATATAAACTATTCGTTTTAATCATTTTAATCCTTATTTACACTTTCAGTTTCTCACACTGGAGAAACTCTGGTATTTACACATGTGTGTCCTATTTATTTCACTTATGAGTATGGCCTCATATGCATCCACTTAGCTATAAATGTCTCTAGTTTGTCGTTCTTTATGGCTGAGTAGTACTCCATTTTATAAAAAAACCACATCTTCTTTATCCAGTTTCCAGTTGATGGGCACTTGGGCTGTTTCCAAGCTTTAGCTATT